ATCGGTCCTTCAATCTTCGATCTTCGGCCCTTGATCTGGATCTTCCCTTCGATCTTCGGAGTAGATCGAAACTGGTAGATCGAGGCTGATACCTGTTGGTCTGTTTCGTGTGCTTCACACCAGATTGTCTCGCCGGGAGACATGTTGCAGTAGATTCCTTAAGTCATGTCCCAGACCTCAGTCGCCGATCAAGACCCATCAATCGCAATTTCCTTGATCTCGCTTCACCACACCATCGTATCCCACGCTACGATCGATACTTCGCCGACCGGGATCCGATGAGATTGATAGAGATCGAACATTGATATCGACCCTAGAATCTCGACCGAGGGCGTGAATTACCGACGCAACTCAGATCGAGGCAGAATCTCCCGATCCAGAAAGGGGACGCCCATCTTCGCCAACGACCAGCCCCGATGCCGATCGATACCCGAGCGGCGATGCTGAGGGCGGCGGGATAAGTGAGAGCATGCCGGACCAGGCCACCGATCGGACGGCCACCAAGGATATCAAGACGGAAAATCGGACTGACACCAAGGGTATTGAGCCGAAAACAGAAAATCAAACCCAGATCAAACTCGATCCCGGCGAAGAACCCGACGCAAAACTCCCGATCTGCCCGACTGAGGGCGTCGGACAACGAGATCTGCAGGCAGAAGGAGCGACAGCGACCACCCCACAGGAGGCCGATGACGATGAGGAGATATATTACCATGATAGTGTCAATCTCTCAGCGGAAGATCTTGAAGGAAACCTGGCTGTCCTCCCCGAAATCCCGATCTCGACGACTGCGAAGGTGAGCATTGAGGATCTGCAGGTGGGAGACTCCGGATCGGCCACACCCGAGGATATCGAGAGGCTCCGGCAGATAATCTGGAAGAAGCGATATCTGCTGATCGGCAAAGCGGCAAAGGGAACGCCTTACCCCGGGCGGCCAAGGACGTCGTATGTGATATCGATGTTGGAAATGCAAAACCGATCGCACTGCGAACCAGGAAAGTGCCCACGCGATTTCGCGAAAAAGTCGCGGGTATGATCAAGGGCCTCCTGGCAGCCGAGATCATCCGACCCTCGACATCGCCATGGGCCTCACCGATCGTGATTGTTCGCTAGAGTAAATGTGTGGATATCAGACTATGTATCGACTACAAGCTGGCAAACAGTCTCACGAGGTTGATGTTCTACCCTATGCCCCTGATCAGCGATCTGCTAGAAGATCTTGATAAAGCAC